GGTCGCAAGATGCAAAGCATGAAAGAAGTGCATGAACTTTTTGGAAACTAAATTTAGTAAAATTTGTATTCTTTTTCTATTTTAATTTCAAGTTTTTCATTACTTTAAATCGCAAAGTCTTGTATGCTCGCTTTTTTGCACGGATTAATAAAAATATCTAAATCATTTATTGATTTATATCAATGTTCTTTTTAACAGCATACAAGCAATTTTCGCCGAAAGGTTCGCTAGGATTTGGCAAAGATTTTAAAGATCAAAACGCACGGTTAGTTTTCCATTTGATTTGTGTTTTGATATCTTAGTAAAAAACTTTGAATGCCGAATATGGTACGTCTTCCCTGCCAGTATAAGAGTTGTTCGAAGATTATAGGTTTAGGTTTTAGACGATAATTAAGAGAATGGGAGGAATGAATTCAATAAAGTGATTGTTTTGCAGTGGTATTATCATTGGTTTTGAAAATCTGCTAATAGAATTATTTTTCCAGACTATAGTTTTCTACTATTCTGAGACAGAAGGATAGCGTTATGAATTTCTTCATATGTCCATGTATTGCTATACTTTTGAATGTAATTTCTTAATTATGTTAGATTAGTTAGATAATGGCAGACATTTTTTTGAAATTTGTTCTAGTGTTATAAGATTTCGTGTTTTCAGTATCGATAGAAATCAACACATAATGAATCCGGCCGATATTGAAAGTCGTGCGTCGTATGCTTTATATTGTACGTTGTTATATTGTTACACATGTTAATTGTTGATTTTATACTTTGGTTGAATTGTTAATTTGTGTACGAAAGGTGACATATAATGTATAGTATAAAAATCATTGAGATATTTGATTATGCTTTGCACAAGAAACAAAATTGCATTAAAATTCAACAATTGCATAGGACCATGTCTCTTGCAGTGTTTTCTTGGCTTTATCAGGCGTAAAATATGCATTAGTAAACATGATGGTAACAGATAACAAATATCTTGTGCGGAATATTGCAGTTCTAATCGTAGGTTAACAGTTTCGTATCCATGATTGTCCAAAACATTGTGGGGGTTCGCGTGAAACTTGGTGAAAAAAATTTTCTGCATAAATCATATATTGTTTTTTAAAAGCTCGCATTCAGTTCTTTTCAGGTTCTTTTTCGTGAAAATTTTTTTATAAAATATACAAAGATGCACTTTTAAATTATAAATCTTTCACATTTTTTGGTGAGCTGATTAGTGATCAGATTTTTTCTACTCTTTGAAGTCAGTCATATTTTTATTCCATCCCAACTCATTTCAAATGCTCCGGTTGATGGGCCTTGGCCATTATCATAATTGTTAATGTAGACAGTTTACTGGAAGCTATGAAAATAATTGCTAAAATAATTATCTGTGGAAAGAAAATAATCTCTTGTTCAGAAAGCACTTCGCAGCTTTTAATATAAGACTCACGAAATACATAAAAATACACATAAAATTTATTCGTCTCATAATTTATAAATAAATCCATCCTATTGTAGATTTATCATTTAATATTTTTCTTTTTTTTTTCGAAATTTCTACTTCTTATTGCTGTGGTTGATATCTGGACCTGCTTAATTGAAGCTTTTGGAAATGTGCTGCTCAATTGCGCTCTGTCCACCCAATCCTTTAAGACCATCAACAAGCTTGAGAAGAAGATGTTCCGTAATAGACCGAGATCAAACTAATTTTACTCACTAAGATCAATCAAACAATATTGCAATGAAGTTGCATATTTGTTCGCCGCTAACTTCATCATTCTTCTGTTCTCTTACTTGTAGGTTATAAATTGGTTGCAACTTTTGCATTTTTTTCGAACTCATGAAATTTTGCACTATAATAAATAGCAGCAAGTTATGATTTCATTAGCTATTGATAACAACTTCTAGCAGTTAATAAGAGTGAATGTATAGTTGGGATGCCGATATTATTTGTGATTAGATTAGTACTGGAAGAATGAAGAAAAAAAGATAATAAATATCAAAAATTGTGATTATATCTTTTACTTTGTGATAATGTTGATAATGATACTACTGTAGCGACTTTCATGTTGCTATTAAAGTACTATTACTGTCAGGCTATGGAATAGAAAACAGGCTGCAGTAGAGAGGTAGGACTTTTTTTTTATTATTTGATGATAAAGTATTGTTTTTAATAAATTCTTTCTCTCATCTTTGACTCATTTGATACAATATATCTTATCGGGAAATCGTTATTTTCGGAATTGCCATATCGATGTTCATTAAAATTTAGCAAATTTTCTCGAAAAAGTTGCAGCAGCACTGCATTAAATTATTTATCAGAAACACTTACTATTTTCGACTCGTTCGGCATCATTTTCGGACTGTTTTTGAATTTCTTTGCCTGGCTGAGCCAAAGGCTCTTAAGTCAGATGAATGATGTAAGATATTTATTTTTGACATAATATAATTTCGTGGATATTTAATTGGTGGAAATTCCATCTCATTGGTAATCACCTGCGATTTCCATTTCAGATATTCATATATGCTGATGAAGTAGTGGACAATTCATATTCAGTGTTCATTTTTACTCCCTATATTTATTACTCCTTACTGAATCACAATCCAATTTTTCTCAACGTTTCAAATTTCCTCGCCCGTGACGTCACGTAGTATATTGCCAGGACTAAATATTGATGTCCATTCTTTGTCACTTTTATTCAAGCAAGCATAATTATTTCGTGTTTTGCGTCTGAAGAGAAGTTGAAAACTTTGCTTTAATAAACTGTGACAAAAATGTTTCAACTCAATTGAAAATTTTTAAATTGTCTGCTGTCGGTTTCTACAGCTATTCGGCAAATTTTGCGTACGAATGGTTTCTATTTCTTTCATCTTCTGAGAAATGATTGCCTTTTAAATAAAAGCCTCATATGTTTTTCTGCTTTCCATTTTACTACATGTTAATCAAAGAAGATTATATCGCTTTAAGACGAATGGATGACTGGGCTAATTACGGGGTCCTTATTTCAGTCCAAGAGTATGACGCTGTTCAAAATTTAAATTATGTTTTATATTGCTAATGTGACTCCAAAATCTATATTATTTAGATAAATAAGGCGCTGTTTCGTAAAATAAAGACACTTCGCAAATTGTTATATAGTTAAGCCAACTAATTACCACCAATAAACTAAGTGTGCAACTAATAAACCGATTAACACTGCTAATATTGTGGCATTGATGTGAGATGTATGATGGAACTATACAAATGGATGACATCGATCAACTGAGCGGAAGCTATTGGAATTCAAATTTAGAAGTGAACTATTTTATTCATAAACAAAATTTTGAAGTCTTTATGGTGTTGAATTATTCGATTAGTTTACTGCAAAAATTCATATATATACAAAAAAAATTTTGTTTTAAATAGTTTTTTAATAAATTAAATTTTTCATTCAAATTGTGTTTTGAAATCTAAATATGTTCAGGTATTGTGGATATTTTTATTAATGTCTTGATTTCTGGGTTTAGTTATCAGGAATTTCAATCTAGTATTTTTTTAAATTCGTTGTTTTTGAAGCTGAGCAAATTTGGAATCTCATAGTTTAAGAATTGTGTGGTTACAGACTGATTACACTCGACAGAGCAAAACAAGATATTTCAGCCTGGAAGTTGGCGATGTTAAATTTTATATTGATCCTATTGAGATGTCTAAAGTAATGCAAATTCTTTTGTAACTTACAATAAACTTTTATGAATTCTATTGAAACGAAAGAAAGGATGTAAAAAAATTGCTAAGATTGCTACGAAAAACAAATGATGAATCATTATATTGACACTGAGGTCAAATTTGACACATTAACCACTCTCTCAAAAATTAAAGAATTTAAAAGTTATTTCCAAATCTAACAAAAATTCCTTGAATAAAGCAAAATCTATCAGATAGAAAATATAAGATTTTTGCAAATTTCAGAAATCACTCTATTTCGAGCTCCTTACAACCAGTCATCATTTTGCGGAAGGAATCCGCGGTAGCAGTCGTTTACACGACAAGAGTGATGAAATTGCATGCATGCTGCAATCTATATGCCCTACAGTTTACAACATATATCCACGAATTATTCGAGGTATTAGTGATTAAGTTTATTTAAGAAATTGTTCAGAGATAGCGTGTTTTCACACAATTTAAACCATATGAATGAATTAAAGAACAAAAAAAGCGCTATCCTGTTAATGATATTTTTTCTTCCAGAAAAGGAATTTTTATATCACATTCTTAACTTGACTCTCAGGATTTTGCTATTGGTTTCAAGAATGTCAATCATTTCTGTAGAGCATGCAATTTCATTGCTCAAGAAATTCATTTTCAGTACAATCAATTCCAGCACTTGCCCGTCTGGCTGATAAATACGATTTGAAAACATTGCAGCTTTGTTGCGAGTACTTTGCACTGAGAGCAAATTTTCAAAAATATGGAAATAATGATTTAGTTAAATTACTTCAAACAGCAATTACGTATAATTACGAGTAAGTCAAAAATTTCCTCCAATTTGTATAGAATATTAGTTTGGAATTGAATATATTACATCAAAAATATCTTTCCATGTTTTTTTTTCTAAAATATCATTTTACTTTTTTTACTAGCTCAAAACTTCGAGAAAATCTCATCAATGAATTAATGAATCGCTCACAATTTCTCAACAATTCAGTGAACAATGAAATGACGAAGGAAATTTGCACTATCATCGTGTTTGTTAATTTTATTTCATGACACATCTGAAAACTCGTTCACCCACCTAATTAAATCAAATATCACTTGATTAAAATGATATTATATGATTATTAATGATAAATTTTCTAGAAAATATAGATTAAAACATAACTTTATGAATATACTCGGAGGTGTCTGTCACAGCTGTGGACAACAGAAATCTTTTAATCCCATTATTGAAAACTGCTGCTGTATGGTTAGTGCTTATTTCTGTAATTTATTCAATTATTATGATGATTACATGAATCAGTGACATTTCAGCATCTCTAACCGCTGATAGCAGCAAATATTGAGAGAAAGATGAGATTTTCAAGCATTTGTTTCCAATTTAGCAGTAGATCGTAACCATAATTAACCGTAGGTTAATCACTTTCTATAGCATGATATAAAGGTATACAATTCATACTGATGATTTATTCAATCGAATAATATAATTTTCTTGTGTTGCAGTGGATATGTAAACTGTGTAATTCAGTGTATTGTTTGAAGTGTAAATTGATGCCATGCATGGTAGAAGTAGAAGAGCATCTTAAAAATGCATTTGAAAAGTATGAAATAGAAGAATTGAGAAAAGAAATTGAATCGGAAATGATTGAAAAAGAAGCTCAATTACAGTGTTGGAATATTTCTGAAGCCACACGAAATATGTAAATGATAAATTCCATCTATCTTCTGAATAGTTCGGTCTATTTTATTGCGTTGTAATAATGTTTCCTATAATGTTTGTACCTAATTAATATCTAAAAACTTCAAAAATTGTACAATTGATAGAATTGTATTTGTTTTATTCTGGCTTATTCTTCTTTTAAAATGTTTGTAGATAGGAATTTCAATTAGAAAATGTTTAGATTTGTTGATAAAATCGGAATAATCCGAATAAAGATGTTGTTTGAGATGTAGAAATTCAGCTTTATAGTTGAGCAACATTTCACTTACGCTTTTAGAATAACAAATAGCTACTTAAATCATCGTTTTGCTAAAAGTTATCAGCAAAAACAACCACTTCTAAAAATGAAATTCTTTCCAATATGATTGAAAATTTCAAATTGTAGCATGTCTATGACGTAAATATTAATTAGTATTAATTGTCGATCAATGCAAAGCTGTAGTGTCTTTCAGAAATATTAAAAAAATAATGGTATGCTTAATTTAATTATTTTAACACATTATTATAATAGCCAACAGTGCTATGCTTAATTTAATTATTTAATACACTTGTCATATATAAATATTTTGTTTTTAATAATCCATTCATTATATCTTATTGTCTTTTATATTGAATTCTATTCTTTCCTATAACTTTTATTATCTCCATCGTTTAATTCAATATCATTATTCCCATCATCCATTATTTCCTATTGCAATTTTCACTTGCAATACCTTATTGCTAAACAATGATTGTACATTGCCCTATAAATGATCAACAGTAGTAAATGAAAGATAATACCTTTTCTAGCACAGTAAACAATTTCACTTTTACCATATGTTGCATGGATTATTCATAATCATTGATGTTAAAAAAGAAATAAACGGACTGTTATGAATCTTAGATAAATGATATCATCCGATAAAATAGCATATCTCAGGTACCAATCTTTCTACAACTGTATTTAAGAAATAAAAGCTTTAGGTTAAACGACTTAACTGACTAGAAGATATAATATGGAAAAATGGGGAATGGGACTAAAATTTGCATTATTCTTCAATGCTTCTGGTGTTGAACCAAAACGATATTGGTATGGTCAGTCTTACAAGCTAATGGTATTACCAGTCTTTTTACCCTCGGGAGTTTCCTGTGAGACATATATGCCGGTCATCCTGGAACATTTCACGGCTGAATGAGTAGAGACCGAAATTTCGGAAACAGAAAATTTAGCTAATAGTGCTAAAAGTATATAGTCTATAGAGAGAAAAATATTTCTTTTCTGAGTATCAGAGAGAATTAGACAAAGATAAACATTCTTATCATTTCATTCTCGATAGGGATAAAGATGTGGCAGAATTTCCCAATAAGCGGGGAAGGAATGATCTTATGCGAGTGTTCATCTTAAAGTCTTTTTCAGGACAGATTGACACTGTAGTTAGTGGTAATTAAATGATTATCTTTTTGTAGTAAACCGAAGTTGGTCAACATAAGATTTAGATATTACCAGTAAGGGACACTTAAGTGATGTACAAAACAGAATGTCCATTCTATAGAAGTTGTGGAAATATATACTTTAAAACACCGATTTGTCTGGAAAATCGAAACGTTTTCAGATTAGGGGTTGACACAATGACAGACGAAATTCGAGGATGGTTATATGGATGGCTTGGGAAAAAAAAACTTGGTATACCATCATATAACACAATACTGTTGGAAAATCGTGGTGGAAAAATGCGCTTCAGATGTGAATTGCGTATACAAGGTTTTACAAATTTATTTCCTATAATTTTTCCTCCAAAAACACTCAATTTACCTTGTTGACGGATGCATGACAATACACATTAACAAAGTGCAATATGGTATAAAATAATTGTTGATTGAAATTTGTTAGATATATATGTAAGGTGTTTGTTTAATGTTCAGAAGAAATCATTAATGCAACATTTTCAGGGCAACCTCATGTAGGATTAGGGATCTCGGCGAATAAAAAAGATGCTGCTACTAATGCTGCTCGGGATTTTGCGCAGTTCCTTATTCGACAAAAATTACTGGATCCACTGGAGCTTCCGAAACCTACGGTTTTTTTATTTCCTTTATATCCATAATTAAATTAGGTGTTATATCATGATCGATCTGTGCATTTAATGCAATACTAAATATCTCATTGAATTTGACTTCTGTTTATGCTGTACAGTGTTTGTTTAACATATGTTAAATTTTTGTGATTCTTAATTTTGTAATCTTCGTATGTCTGAAAGTTATGTTGCAACGCATAGCAAAAAACACTGTTTTTTTTGTGAATTAATAACCAGTCATACTAATGATATATTTGATACAAATTTGTTTCAGTAGTAATGGGTTTTTTCCCTTCTTTCGGTCTTTTTATAAAAAAAAAGTTATTTTAGGCAGGAATGTTGGAGACAGCAAATGAGGATTCATTTAGCGGGGACAGTACACCAGAAGGTAGCAGTTTATTGAACTGTAGAAAGGCAGAAAAAAGTAGCAGCGAAACAGTTGATGTTGCAGTAAATATGCAGTTTCTTCCGTCATCGAAGATTGAAACAGAACATCAATGTTATATTGAGCAAAAAGCAGAAGAGATTACGCTAGTTAGTTTTCTTTGATTAATTAGCTCTTGCCAAATAGAAAAAAGTTTTTTTATCAATGCAATGATTTTTCCCAATGGCCGATATTGCGAGCACTAAACCAATATTCGTTATTTAGTTTTGAAGATCCATAATTTGTTTTGTTTTTTAAATGCTTTGTGCATGGTTATTAAAAATATCGTGCAGCTGAATGATATTCGTGATATTACACTAAGTTTTAGTAAAGCAACGTTGTTTACTTTTACAGATTCAAGTTTCAAGTATTGCGGAGTGATTTGTCCTTGAATACTGCAAAAGTAGGTACGGTAAGCTTAGTCTTTAGCATAGACATAATCTTGAGTTATTATCAAAAAATCTCAAAAATATTATTTTTAGTCCGAACCAGTCGATTTGCGAGCAGATATACATGGAGGATGGACGGCTGACAATAGCAAGATGCGTTTAAATGAATTTGTGCAAAAAATCAAACAACCGCCGTTGAAATATGATATCCGCTCTGCTGGCACCCATAACTCCAGGTAAAATTTGCTGTCTGTTAGAAAATCAGGTTCCTTATGTCTAATTTGAATCGTAGCATTTTCATTCTTGAGACGTTGCCTTCTTGCTTATGATTAGAGAAGGATATTAGTAAAAGCAAATTTTAGATATTTTTTGTTCTTACGGGAGGCCACGTGTTCAAACTGTATGTGGAATCTGCCTTCATTCAAAATATATTTGCACAGTTTTACTTTATCCCATTACTTCAGTTCAGTTTTTATAGTTTTTGGGAAACGTCTATTTCTGCATTTTTGTTGGATGAATCTGAAGGATTGAATTCCCTATTAAATACAAAGTCTCGGAATTCTTCCATGTTCATTTGAACTAAACCATGAATCATATATCTTTTACTGGTTTTGTTGCAGAATCAGTAAAAGAAGTAATATAGATCAACTGTCATTTCAAGCATCACTGTTTCAGAATTTTTGTTGCGGAAGTGTCACTCTTCGTCCCGGAAGTGCGGCACAGTGAGTAGTAATTAATTTCATTTCAGATATATAATTTTTAAACGGATGTACAAGTCGTTACGAAGATTTTTGGTTCACTTCTACATATATAATACTATGAATTCATTCAAAAACTATTAAAAGATTTAGTGTGAGTCAGAGAATTTATAAGAGAGAGACGATACTGAGAAAAAGACGTCATCTGAATAAAATATAAGCACTGTTTTTTTAATTTATTGTCTTCTTTTTCAAAAAAATTTTGGAAGTTTGCCGGCTTGTATCTTACCTATTTGTTACTTTGTGAACTATATAAAAAATTTTGCTAATTCACTTATTAAATTTGTTTAAACTACATTTTGGATTGTCTTTTGTTTTATGCTTTTTCATGGGATTCATTTGTTGTTTTCCCTTTTGAAAAAGCAAAAAATTTATAGAACTTAAATTCATACTGCAAATGTATATGTCGTAGGTACTTAATTGCAAATCTTAATTGCAAATCAGATTTGATAGATAATGTGACAGTAGTTTTATGGAACTGCCTCTTTTTCATATTTTTAAAGTTGTGAAAAGACATAGTGTATTGTTAACCGTTCACTCATGGATGGGAAGAAAGATTGAAAGATTGTTTTCAAGCATAATTTTTTTACATTACTTCTATTATATTTTGAATAACGGTTTCGCAAAGGAATTATGTGCAAAATTCTATTGTTAATTAAATGAATTTAATTTCATGTTTTCCAGCATTTTCGGCAAAAGCAGAAGGATCAACGAAGAAAACTGCTGAATCGACTTGTGCGCTTTCTTTAATGCGTCAGTTGTTTCATAATAAGTTAGTTGGTGCTTACACTGGTCGAAAGAAGAAAAAAACAGCGGGAAATGTAGGTTTAAATGAAACAATTGTCTAGCTACATTTTTTTTTGTACTAATAAAACGATTTCCGCACAATAGATGGATGCAAAAAAAGATAGTTTAGAATCCAAAGTGACTGTTCTGAAGTAAAAATTAATTATGGGTAAGAAAAATATCAAAAATGTTTGGTAATCAATATTTCTCCCTTGCTTCCGCCGAGGATTCGCTTTTTAAGTTTATGAATTGTCAACTTTGATTGTCATTTTGTTTTCAGTTACCAGACATCCCGGTTATTGTAAGTGATGAACTTTCTGAGGAAATAGCTCGTTATCTTGCACTGGTTGGTATTAATGAAGTACAGCCTTCATTAGAAGCTTCAGTTTCTAAACCAGTTTCGTTGTTAGTTACGCAAAAATTGAATCAATTTGAGCCATCACAACCTGTCTCTGATGGTTTTATATCGTGGTGTCCCGCACTGCAAAATTGGAATCCATGGAAGTCATCAAATATCGATGAATCTCCACTTGCTTTCGTATGTTATTTTTAGACACAGTTTGATGAAAATTTTTTCATTGTCGATACGATATCAATTGCTATTGATATTGGGAAATTCATTGAATTATTCAAAATTGCAGACATTACGTCAAACTGGCCTTCATTTGATTAGCTGCACTGTCACTGTTTGAACGGTAGCATAGCATAGAAATACGCTGTTTTATCGCTACACTTGTTTCCTTATATTAATCGCCAAGTAGTTTTCCTTTACTGACAAACGGATTTTTCATTACGCTCATTTTTAAAGACTTGCCTTTGTTGTTGCTTTTTTAGAATATAATTTAGAAATCAAAACAAAAATTTTTTGCTTTCTAGATTATATTATTTCAGCATTAGGCAACCATTTATTTATTCTTAAGACACTGCCTCATGCCGTTGATCTCGTTAAGTTTTCAGATGTCTCTTGATGCAATAAGTGCTGAGTTGCTAGAAGCGGAAAAAAAACGGATGATTTCATCAAGTATAAAAGCTCAACGAGAATCATTACCTGTATATCGGTATCGCGATCAATTAATTGATATGATTGCAACTAATTCAGTTACAATAGTGAAGGGTGAAACAGGTTGCGGAAAATCTACTCAGGTACTGCTTCTTTGTATTTATCGACAGAATGAATTGTTGTTTATTATTGACATTAGAGTTTAATTTCCAGTTTGCAAAGCTGTATGATTTTAATGGCAAGGTTTTGCTACAGAGATAGTTTTGTGCAAAAGTATCGGAACCTTCGGTCTTTTTTGTTCTTTTGTTTTTACGTAACAGAACAAATAATAAAAACATATTACATAACAGATGACTTAGCTTGAAATTTAGTAAATCATTTAATAACTTTGTTGATAAAATCAAGCGTCTTTGCTATTGGTTCCTAAGTCATCTGTTACGTAATATGTTTTTACTTGTTCCGTTCTTCTACTTTGTTAATACGTATTTCCATCTTTTTTATCAACTGAAATTTTTAAAAATTTTAGGTTTGTCAGTATCTGCTAGAACACTATATAAACAGTTGTCGTGGTGCGGAATTCGCTGCATTTGTTACTCAACCGCGAAGGATCAGTGCCATAACGTTAGCTGAGCGCATTGCTGATGAACGTGGGGAGCAACTGGGAGTGTCAGTCGGATACGCTGTCAGGTGCTTTCAGATAATTTCTTGTAACTGCAAGCAGTAAAATAGTTTATGAAAGTTTTTTTTTATTGTATTAGTATTTTCTAGAAATAAAGGAAGTAGAAGGCTTACTTTACAGGCTTTAGTAGCACGGAATAATTTGCTGTCTCACTGTGTTATAGTTTCAATTTATATTTGTAAGACTTTATCATTACCACAAATTTAATCACTTTGTTAATGCCCAAGATGTTGTCAACTTACCAATATTGATTTTAATAGCTAAAAGCAGCAAAAAGATTAAGCGGAAATGTCTTGCAGATTTGATTCACTTTACCCTCGACCGTATGGATCATTGATGTTTGTCACTGTTGGTTTACTGTTGAAAAGATTGGAATCAGACTTGCGTGGAATAAGCCATATTATTGTTGATGAAATTCATGAGCGAGATATTAATGTAAGACTGATATTTTAAAATTTTATCATCATGAGTTATAATATATCGCGGTTTACTGAAAGATTTTATCATTTCGTCAGTTGATTGACACTTCTGGATTCTTGTTCATCTTTCATTTTTCTATTTTTCAGTTTTCTTCTCTTACATGCAGTCTAACTCATAAAGTACTCTGACTAAATTTCTGTGAAAGAAGGAATGGATTGGAAGATATTGTACACATCGGTTGTAATTCCTGCTAATTGAATTTTATTTTGAAAGTTGACGCTCTATTTTTTTGTCTCATGAACATGCAGTGAAGAAAAAGAAAATACAGCAATAGATAAAACTGCATTTATTTGCTAAACTTCTGGTCGCTGGGTGCTTATTATGGTTCTTTTAGTTTAGTTTATTCCATAATTTCTTATAAAATTTTTTTCCTCATCGTTTAAGCATGCTGATTTTCAGACAGACTTCATTATGATTGTGTTACGCGATATGGTAAATATGTATTCCGGTTTAAGAGTTATTTTAATGTCTGCAACCGTCGATTTGACTCTTTTTACTAATTATTTTGGCAACTGCTCAGTGATTTTACTAGAAGGACGAAATTTCCCCGTTCAACGTATGTTAAGTTTTTGCTGATGAAGTCTGCTATATTGTGAAATTATTGCATATGAAGCTGTTTGACTTGGTAATTTACAAACATCTAATACGAAAGTTTATATGACGGAAAAGACGGAATGAAAATTTCCATTGGGAAATTTCTTCTTTGACAAGTGTCAGATTACCTAACATGTTCTGTTTTTCATATTATTACATGGGTGTAAAAAGTTTTAAAGAGTATGCGCGAGCATTTCTCAATTGGAGGGAGTTTTTCTAGCCGTATATATAAGTTAAAATTTGAAATGTTTATTGATTTTTCTTCAGACTATTTCTTGGAAGATATTGTACAGATGACTCATTTTTTGCCACCAGCTAGTGAATTGAGACAAAACAAAGATTATGACGATGAAGGGGAAGAATTTACAGAAGAGGTGTTATTTTCTTCAAATTTTAATTTTGAATGTTTCAGTTCATTAGAGTTTGAATATGGGTAAAACTTTTCAGACACAAAATCTCAACTTGGTTGTTAGTGAGGAATATGGCTTGAACACAAAGCTAGCCATGAGTCAACTTTCAGAAAAAGAAATATCGTTCGAGCTTATCGAGGTTGTAATCATTTCGAAATCATTGCATAGATGGATTCTTTTACTTTTTCCATATTTTTAACTTACTCCTTTTCTTGGAAATGTAGTTTTTGCACAGTGAATTTATATTTCAGAAGCTAGAATTCTAAACTTGTTATAAACACTGCGATGTAGCGTCTGTTTAGCTATGTGAGATCTTCACATTCTTCATTTCTCTCCATAGTTTGGTTTATAACGTCGTGGACGTGAAATTTTAGGAATTAGTAACTTATAAAGAGTGGTCAATTAATGATAGAATTAAGTGGCAACAAATCAGATGCTGCTGATGTGAAATGATTCTTTTGTAACCGATCAAAAAATGTTAAATCATGCAAACTGCAGGCACTTTTGAATCACATCGTAAGCAAAGATGAAGAGGGTGCTGTTCTAATTTTCTTACCAGGATGGCATATCATCCAACTTTTGCTCAGTTTTTTGAAATCACATCCCATGTTCAGTAACGAATCACAGTTTGTTATTCTCCCACTTCATTCACAGTTGACTGGCCAGGAACAACGAAGAGTATTTGAAAATTATTCATCCGACGTCAGAAAAGTTGTTTTGCTTTTTTTAAAAAACTGACAACTGGAATTTATTATGTATGCAAGCATTAATGACATTTTCGAGGTTCAGTGGAGCTCTGAGAATTGGTGGGTAGTTTTTGGAAAATTGTCTTCTCAGTCGTTTAATAGTTTCAAATTTAAATCTAGCATCAATTCCTGATTCATTTCATAATCTTAAATTTTATGTATTATCCAAACTGTTCCATCTTTTGATATTCAGATTATCCTGTCAACAAATATTGCGGAAACCAACATTACAATCGATGATGTTGTCTACGTAATCGATAGTTGCAAGTGAATTCTAGTTTTAATAAAATTCGTCCAGCTTACCAGATCTTACAGTATTGATAGAATCATTTGCACTTTTTAATTTTTTTTTTGTAAGGAAAAAGAACTCAAAGCCTCTAAAATTTTAAGTGATTTTCACTTGTAGGTATTTCATTTCTTTTTACACTAATATTTTATCCTGCATGCTTTAAATTCGGTTGCTGAAGTACTCAGAGAAAGTTTCTGTATTTAACTTTATAGCGTCGTGCTCGTTATTTCAGAGTTAAGGAGAAAATGTATACTTCATACAACAACATGGTTCACTATGCAACAGTTTGGGCATCTCGTACCAGTATCGTACAACGAAGAGGACGAGCAGGACGTGTTCGTAAAGGCTTCTGTTTTCATTTATGCTCCAAAAGTCGATATGAAGCGTGGGTTGTTTTCTTTCATTTGTCACCTTATTTGATTTATGTCTAATTTATTTCGCTTGTGTGCACTTCTTGTTGCCTTAAATCCGTTTCTTTTTTTTTATAACAAGTCTTTAAATTTCATATTAGCTCTTCCACTTTTTAAATCTGAAATAATAATCATCCATCTGTTTCAGTGACTTGGCTTTTATAGCACTTTGTCAGCACACAATTCTTTCTTTTCAAATATTACCACAAAGTTGTTATTGAATAAGCACAAAAAATAAGTCAGAAGCTTTGTGAACTGTTGCTCTTTTAATTGGTTTTTATTGTAAAGGCTAGATGAATATCGCGCGGCGGAAATGCTGAGAACTCCACTGCATGAAATTGTGTTGACAATTAAACTAATTGGATTAGGCTCAGTTAGTGATTTTCTGGCCAAAGCGATCGAGGCACCATCAATCGATTCTGTTGTTGAAGCTGAGGTGCTTCTTCGGGGTTGGTTATTTGAACGAAAAAATTTAAATCAATGTATGTAATGTGGAGTCGTTGCAATTTACGGAACGAATTAATTTCGTTTGCAACCTTTTATCCTATTTATTAATTATTTAAAACCTCTTTTTGCAGAAATGTCAGCTTTGGATTCAAACGGTGAATTAACAGAACTTGGTCGTATTTTAGCTCGACTTCCTATTGAACCAGTACTTGGCAAAACTCTTATTCTTGCTACTGCATGCGGGTAGATTTAATTTGTTTCTGCATTATCTAACATTGATTTCTAGTTCTCAGCGAGATTAGGGAAAGCAGTAAAGGAATATTTCTGTACTAGTTTGTAGGTTGGATTCGTATTTGTTTTTATTATAATGATAGGAAAATGTCTGCTTTGTGAATTTTATAAAGTATTAAATAATTTTCTAATATTTATTTTTGCTAATCATAGTGGATTCATTCGAAGACATACTTTTTTTTCACCGTAAATAAAGTTTCTTGAGATTTCAGTATTGGAGAATTATTAGCGACAATATCTGCAGCGTCATCATTTGCAGCACCGTATATACCACCTGATCGAACTACTTCAAAACTGACTTTCCAACAGCGTTCATTTTCTGGAAGTCGCTTTTCGGATCATATTGCACTTATATGTGTCTATAACAAGTGGCGTGAAGCATTTGATCAGGATCCAATAGCAGAAAAAAATATTTGTGATTGGTTTTCTTTGAATTCTACGGTATTACGAATGATTAGGTATCTTTTTTTTTCGTAATACACCAGAATAAAATGCATATTTCATAGAAATGATCGTAGCTTTTTAGAAATTATGAGATTTATATTTAGAAATTATGAGATATGAAACAACTGCATGCAAATTTACTCTTTTTAGGATTGCTAAGCAGCAATTAACTGATACACTGATCTCATCTGGTTTTTCTGAATCACTCTTTATTCCATTAGATGTATCCAATACAGGACCGGATTCAAATCTCGACCTCATACTTTCATTATTGGTTTATGGTAATATTGTATGGTTTTGTTTTTAATTGAACTTGAATTGGTCTTTGAAACAATTTAAACATTTCTTCCCGAAAGTTATATTGGAAGGGCGAATGATATCAGCTAGCAAATTATGAAGTTTCTGTGGAGACGTAAAAAGCTTAAGCATTATGATTCTTGATCACTTTTTTCATCTTTTTATACAAAATCTGAAGGAGATGTTTTTTATTATATGCAAATTTCTTGCGTCAAGAAATAAAATTTTAAACAAAGATTTTTGTTATTAATGAGTAGTTTTGCAAAAGTAACTTGAAAATTGCAGTACGAAGCAATGAAAATTTTTTCAGCTTTGTGATAAGTTGATATTACATTAAAAATTGCGAACATAATACCGCTTTAGTTACTTCAAAAAACTCCAATTTTATTTTTTACAGCCCAATTTTACTGAAAGATACTAAGAAAAGCACAGCCATGCAATGTACATTATGACATGGCAGTACTAAATTATTATTCCACATGAAATTCACCATAATTTTCATAAAAAAAAGGAAAAAAGCGAAATAGAATATTTCTAGTGAACCAAAGAATCGGGTTGGGAAAGTAGACTGAGCTCAGTTCCATTTCTTCCTTTTTTCCAGGAAGAACACAAATTAAAATCGATGAGTTTTAGCTTTGTATCCAAATATTTGTCACTATCGAGATAAACGACGTGTTTATACACTGGAACAAGCGACAGCTTTGATGAGCAAACAGTCCGTGAACGAACCATTTTATACTTCGGATACTATTAAATTTCCATCGCCCTTGTTTGTTTTTTCGGAAAAAGTTAGTGTTTTTTCTTTTCTATAAAAGCTGGAATAAGTTTTTTTGAAAGCAAGTAATAGAGGTTTCAAAATGGAAACTTTCTGCAGTATAATGGAAAATAATTTTGACTGGAATTGATTTGAAAATTATTATAAAGTGCAAAATAATGGAAATGACTCTTTTCAGCTTCGTACTAAAGTGATATCATGTAAACAAATTTCGAACATAACTCCACTTCAATTACTTCTTTTTGGAAGCCGGAAAGTGGAGTATCATGGGAATAATATTATTAAATTAGATAACATGTAAATTTAGTATCCATTTTACTTTTTGCATTACTTATTTTTCAAATAATTTATCAAAAAAAAATTAAATAATAAATAATATTAAAGTTGTCATCTTTACTTTTCTTTTCTCATTATATTCATTCTTGTTTCTCTTTTTTCAGGATTCCCCTAAAAATGAATGTGCAAGCTGCGGCTCGAATTGTAGCTTTGCGACCATGTATTGAAGCGCTTATTGTACGAACTTGTTTGAATCCAGAAGCCACAAATAAAGTTCGTGAGGATGATAATAAGCTACTTAAAATTCTAAAGCAGATATCGTCACCTTTTAGTTGGTTGCCAAATGAAAAAGTCACTGAAATACAGCAGCAGGAGTATGCTGGTGTTGAAGCAATTTCTCGTTCGAATTACATCAAAGGGTACTTTTTAGAATAATTTAAAGTTGCATTCATATAAAACATAAATTTACAACTAGACAACACTTTATTTTTGAAGTGATTAAATTTTAATTTTAATTGCTTATTCATAATTTAAATATATGAACTTATATTAGTGTTTCAAAATGTCCAACTAGTATTTATAATCTACCTCATTTTAAAAAGGATTAAAATTATATCCATATACAAAATAAACCTTATTAGTATGATTTTTTTGCACTGACTCTTGTTTTATCCTAGATCACAACTCTTAAAACAGATAAGTTAAGACTTTTCCAAATCTTCTACATTGACAATGACCTTTATTATTAAATATAGCTTTTTGTGATAAATACAAACTCTCACTTTAATATCTTGAATGAAATATTTTCACAAATTCAGAATTTTAAGATTTTAATTTTGTGAAATTATACGAATTTTCGAAACTAGTATCTCTTGCTTTTCTCTATCGCATTCTCTTTATATAGATTGATTCTTTCTATGAAGACTTAGCACAATTTGATTTCGTTTTAGGAGTCGAAACAGTGCTGATGGCATGACACCGAATATGAGAGGGAATAGAAGGGGAATGAGAAGAGGTCAAAGATGTGGCCCTGTTGGTACTTTTGGAAATGACGGGATAGGATATCAAAGTTATGAGAGAACAGGACTGAGAAGAAATGCTTGCAGTCGTGCTTATTCTCCGTCTCAGAGTTGGTTTAGAGAAACCAACCTAGGATGTTCCTATAATGTTGGTGGTTATGCCACCATCAAAAATAGCAGAGGACGTTTTAGTAGTTTCCGCGGAAGAAATAGAACTGATAGGTGTCACTCTTCGTTTAACTTTGGAACTGCTCAAAACAAAGGTTTTTGCTCTTGTGTGGGTGAGAACAATATGCATGCCGAAGACTTGTTGTCGGATTATGTCAGTAAGTTTTTTGGTGAAGCTTTTGTTTATTTGAAGTTCAATTCCACAAATTTGAGATGTATTTTACCGGCAGATTTTTCATCTAATTGGATTTGAATTCTAACGATGCATGTATTTTAAGTGCACAATAATAAGTCCAGAAGTGACAATTTAATGTATAGTAGAGTATAGGGAAGTATGATACAAGATGATCAACTATTCAACATACTTATTGATTGATGATTAATTAATTTATTTAAATGAGTGATAAGTTGCGATTAACCTGTGGTCCGAATCTCAGTTTTCTCAGTTTAATATAATAATTGTTAATTTACAAGTTTTCATGTCTGTCATCATAATTGTAGACCATTTAGTATCACCAGTTTCTGGATATTTTTATTGTTCACTTCGTACCGGATTATTTCTCCAACTTTGTCATTTGTCGTCCGATTGTTTAGTTTGTGAAATCAAAATGTAAATATGAGAAATATATGTATTTTAAATCTTATTCGAAATTATAGATAATCGTTCGGAAAATGGCATGGTTCGTTCGGGAGTGAATTGGGATATTACACCTATGAAACGTGCTCGAACTGGTTGTGGAGGAGAAGTACCTCTATAATTCGGCTGGTGGACCAATATTACAGTCTTTGCTTAATACAACAGAGCATCCTTCGGTCAGTATACATTGTCAAGAACATGTTGATCCTCCTGATGTTATCAATGAGGAGAAGTTTAGATATCAGTGGAAAAATATTGATAGAGGCGGTAAGTATGGAAATTTCTAAGGTTCACTCTATTTTCTTCATCATATTAATATGTTAAACTATGTTTTATGTAGGTAAAATTTGAAATTTCATGCATTGTTCGGAATCTTTCCGGTAAAATTTATGTAGAAATTGTTGAAATGTTATTCAATAATAGTTTTGCAAGAAAGAGAGATATTGTTTTTGTTTTATTTTTCACCTTTTTATAAAATATGTTCATTGTTTCATTAAATCCAACCTGAACATCGTATTATATTGAAGAATTAGCTAACTTTCATTTTATCGAAGTAGATGTGATATATTTATGAAACCGCATGCAATAAACTAAAGCTAGCCGTTTTAATTGCTAAAATTCTAGTAAAAAGTGAAAATGAAACTTTTCAACGCCTCGTATTTTAAGCTTTATCTATAGTTTTTCTGGCACTCCATTAGAGTCTTTTGTATTGGGCATCCAACTATTCTCGGTCGCAATAATAATTTGTCACTTCTATTCTAATAATTCTGCTCTACCATCATTTTATAGTTTACTGTTTTTACAGTGAAATTTGATCTCATTAAGAAAAATACTTTCTGCAATGCAACATTTGCGATGCTTTTTATGTCTTTGATAACTGCCCAGGAGAAGATTTTTATGAAATCCCGTCTTGAATTACCAAGTCCACTGAGAGGAATTTTCGATAAAACTAATATTATTTTCTGCATTTTTAGTTCATGCTTAGTTTATTTGTGCTTTCAGATTTGTTGAATTTCGCAAACTTTCATTGTTAACAAACTTTCTAAAAACATCTGGCTTAATTACATAAATAAAGATGATAACTGATGGCCTTTTTAATCACGCAACACAAAATTTTCCGAAATAATGGCAAGAGCATTTGCATGAATTTTGAAATTATCCAGCTTGCATTATTACTGTTTTCGTAGATTTATCGGAATTCGGAAGCCATAAATTTCAAAAATTTTCCAGTGCATTTAAAACTGGATGCTGAAGTGCATTGCTATAAACTGAGATCAAAATGTTTACTTAATTAGCAATGAATCATGGAAATTATATTTACACCCAAAATTCATTGATTATTTTGCATATATGCTCATTTATTGATCTTCATTGCTGTACATAAAAGAATGTTTTGGTATTTGTTGAAATATTTCATAACAATAAATTAGCATGAAACGATTGCTTATATTAACATTTTCTCTAGTTCTAACTATTGGCGTTAAGGCGAATATTGAGAGTAATGTTTGGAGATTAGTGGATGCCGTTTATCCGAAGGTGTTTTATGTTATCAGTTTCTGGTTTGATTCATGTTACAATTCGAAAATTCTGACTCGTTCATTCACAATTTATCAGTTTGAAAATATGGCATTTTTGATCTTTTCAGTATAGATAAAGCAAATACAGTAATTTGCATAATAAAGATGAAATGATTTAATGCGTCAAAAAATTAACATATTTTGCTTTAATAGATTAACAGATACAAAGTTCGAAAGAAATAAACAGATAAAAAGCTCGACAAATTTGCACTCATAGATCTACATACAACATCAGATTTAAATTTCATGAAGATATTTGAAGATAGTTTTTTTCTTTAAAATTGATTAGTTCAAGGAGAAGGATCAATCTTATCAGGAACTTAAGATTGATTACTGTTCGCAAAGTTATTCTACTATCCATTCTACTATTCTACTATTTAGTCTACTGTTTGAATTATATGCAAATGAAAAGTTGAATTCTTGGTCCATTAGTTAATAAGTAGGCTTGTAAATCGGTGTATGATTCCCGCATCCCAAAGTTTTTTTCCTTAAATTCCAAACATATATGGGAAAGATAAGAGATGATCCTTTCATTTTGACAACCATATGTTTATTTATCTTTCGCTACTGATCATTTTATATTAATTTTACTTTGCGATATGAATTTTAGACGGAACATTTACGAAAATGTGGAGCAGAGATTGAAATTAATTTAACATTTAAGCGATTGATTATTCACAATAATATTATTCTTTGTGGTGAATCTAAATTTTTCCAATATAAAAGATTGCTGAGAAATAATTTGGTTTGAAGCTCTTTGTTATATTCTTTGAAATTTCACAAGATTTTCTTAAATTTCTCTACAATTCAGTGGAATTATATATGAATTTTTTAGTGGTAAAATGAAAACAATTTTGAACGAACAATATAGCATTAGTACGATGTGGACATGGAAATTTCACTTTTTTCTTCAAATTCTTAACAGTTTATAGATTTGCATGTTTTCAGGATTTGGCAGTAAATATATGTCATAGGTTAAATATTCAGAATAGAGTTGTCGAGCATTTTGGTGTGAATTATTCCAAAGTTTATTGCATTTGGCCAAAAATATTCTCGGAAATGAATTACTGTGTTGCTGGTTTTCGTTCGAACGCTTCATCAGAGGAGGTTGATAGTTTTCATAATTGTTCCGAAGCTGGAATATTGGCAAAACTTGAGCAAGAACCTCCGAAGCGTTCATTGGGAGTAATTTTCACAAGAGTTGAAAAAGGTAAAACTTCAAATTTTCTTTTTCAACTGCGATTAAGGAGTTGCAGTTTTCGTTTTTCCCGTTATGTTTTGTTGAAATGTTAGCTTTTTTATTAGTGTCGCTGGTTGGAAAAAATTTTAGATTAATAACAGAGATGCTTCAGAATTTTGTGAATGCATTTACTCTGATTTTTAAAATTTAAAAGATGAAACTTGGAAGGATGTCTAGATTAAAGGTGATAAAGAAAACTTGATAGTACTTGAAGGATTATTACCTTATTTCATTTTCGAGATATTCGGATTTCCATTTCATTTTTCTCGTTAACTGCGAAAAAATTGCAGAAGATCACACGATGCCTGATAGCAGACACTCAGTTAATGAATTAACTGAACAATTGGATTTAAGCAGTTCACTGGACAACCACGCTAACGTGAAGACAAATACATGTATTTTTTGTTTTCTTGTAATTGACATTTTCGATTTTATGTCCAATGAATTAAAATTATCATATTCAGTAAATTTCTTATTCAATTAATTGAAGTTATTTTTTAAACAATTCAGTAAACGGTAGAAAAGCGATGGTTTTGCAATTAAATCACCATGAACAAAAAGAGGAGGACGACTGTCATGAAGATTGATTATGGTGTTAACTGATTATTAAAAATACTAGTATTTTATTGCTATACCGTTTTATACATAAACTAATAAAAATTCTCGTAATAATAATTGTGTCTATTTCGCATAAATTTAATTAAATTTTCCAGGGTTATTAGACGTCTTTCATATAACTTATCTTTAACAAGTCAACAAATCATAAAAAAAAAAAAAAACTTGTTTTTAACATGTCAACGAATCACCTGAATGCTATTTTATTGAAATCTTAATTTTGAATTTAAATTTTGAAATGAACAAGCGGGTTATTCACTTGTTCTTTTTCTCCTTCCATATGTTTAATAATAACTTTTTTAAGTGTTGAAAATGGAAATAAATCGGGAATTTCATCTTAAAAACTTAATAAGCGCAGTAAATTTAACAGTGGAAAATAAGATAGAAGCTCTTGTATTATCTTTATTAAGCTTAGAATTTTGGAAATATAATAATTGTTACAGGAAACTGTGAAATTTCCTTTCATACTTTTTGAAAGCTTTTTAATTAATTGGTTTCGACGTAACCGTTTACCAGTCACTGAAAATTCGATGTATTGACCGGAAGATCATTTAAGAAGAAATTTGTTTAATATAGTAAGTGAACTGGTCATATTTTTCATTTTTGACTATTTCGATATTTTTTTTTTTGAAGTATAACTTTGCCAAGTGTTAGGAGTAATAAATAATGATATAACTGCGCATCTCATTTTATTACATATTAATTGTAAATTGAGATCGATTATGTATTTCATTGTTCTATTATCAGGCACTAATTAAACTTGTTAAGACAGAGATATTTTTTGATTATCTGTGTAATCTAAAATGCTAATAATTAACTAATTTAAAATTATATTTGCTTGCATAGTATTATATTAAATAACAACGATAGCTTGTATAATAAATAAGCTAATAATATTTCATTTATAATCATATAATTTTCACACTTTAAATTGATTAATTCATGAATTTATGTTCTGATCACATTTTTTTTAAATATGATATTTGTGATACTCAAACAGAAAACAAATATATCATTACTTTAAATCAAAATTAAGTCTGACGTGTGATGGACATAAATGAAATGCAGAGAAAAAACTTTTATTCATTAGAGTTAAAATCACGAAAATTTGATGAAAATTGAAGGATTTCACCATTTGATATCTATTTTACACTTTTCCTTTATAAAATATATTTCAGTCATCAATGAGTGAATATTACTACTTTATACTAAATGAAAAAAAAAAAAGTGCTGTTGGGGAGAGAATCAATTGTTGTTGGAATTAGGACTCAAGTTTGTGTATATGTCTCTGCATGCTAACGTTGAGATATTTGCTAGAAGGGAGGAGCGGAATTTATCTTTCTTCCTTCATTCCATATCATTTCACTAAATCTATTTATGAAATCCATTCGTTGATATTAGCCTAGCTGGCAATAATCGATGTAATTTTAAACGACATTTTTTATTCCGTGCTTTTTCTCTTTTTTTTTTTTGTTTGTTTACCCTTTTCACAAAATGAGTAATTTATTTTCGGCTTTCGGTTTCAATCAACCATTCCTGATCGCATTAGCTGCGTAAGTTTTCTTTTTTCTTCGGTGTTTATTTTTTGAAAATTCAATTTTAACAAATATTTATACTCAACCAATTATCATAATATACTTAACATATTATTAAATGATTGAGCAAAAAAAAAATACTTGGGTATTTGTAAAAAAAAAAAAAAACTTAAAATGCTATTTTTTCTTCTGGAATTTCAAGAATTGTTTTTCTATTCTTGTGAAGGCTAAGCTATTAATTGACTCAACACTTGTCCTTGATGAATCAACAGGTGATATTTTTACTTTTTTTCCTGCTTCGATAAGCTAACCATTACCCTTTCTTATGGTTGATTAGATAATCAAAAATTAATTTTTTAATCAGTCATTCTAATTTTTGCTAAATATCACAATTAAATTTTCATTTCATTTTATTAAGTAGCAATTAAGTTTATCAATCATTCTAATCTCTGTTAAAATGTTGTAATTAAGTTAATCTTCATATTATTTTTTATTTTTGATGATTATTAACCAACAAAATCTAGTAATCTATCATTAATATTTAATTTTTTCTTAAATTTGAAAACCTACATATTCAATGGGATATTTTTCATTACAAAAAAATACATATATATAATTTTAGTTTTTAGATTTTGAATTATCTGACTATTCCTTCCCATTTTCCTTTTTAACCTATAGATAATAGATAATTTCTGTTTAAAAGAAAATAATAACAGTGGCAAAAGTGCAATAGCTAAAGTTTAGAAGTAAAAAATTTTTAAATTACAAAAAAAGAATCAAATAGAAGTTGATCAGTGAGTGCTTGATCTGTACTGATAATCTTAATTTTCAAATATGTGAATTGTTGCTTGAATTTTGCAGAATTATAATAATGCTTTTGGTAACAGCCGTATTTGTTGGCAGCGATGAGCCACAAAAATCCAATGTCACTCACCAGCATGATGATATAGCTACTGTAAAATTTTATTATTGCTTTTTCATATCATTCATTGAAATAGCAGGAAAGTTAGATTGCTCTATGAAATACCGTACGCCTCAGATCGAATTAATTTGAGAGATTAAAATGGAGAAATTTTAATATTAATTTCAGAAATTATATGCCTTTCGCAATATTTCATTCCGTAATTTTCATTCTTGATTTCTTAACCTTTGATTATGAATAGAATAATTATATTTCTATTATCTAAATTATAATTCTACTACCTTAATGAATTTTGTTGACAAACATCTAAAATTGATTAATTGGGTAATTATATTATAGAATTATGTTGCATAATGCTTTCCTCAATTGTACTATTATTTCAGCCATGTATCAGAATTCACAATCCGCTCTTACTCGATACAACCACCAGGAGATATCAAGCGGGACCTCTTGCACCTCTTCTTACCAGCAGAAATGAGATTTCATCAAAACAATCTTCTAAACAATAGCTAATTTTGTGCCTAAATTTTTCAACCATTTATTATTATGTTACATTTATAAAATGAATCTGATCCCGTCATTTTATAAATGATCCGATTCGGATCGCAGAATGAATTCTCATGGAAGCTATTTTACAAATAACGGTTTGCAAATTGCATCCGTTTCTCATTTTCTCTTTTCATTATTCAATTTTTTTCTATCAAGCAATACTGGAATTGAAAAGTTATTGAATAACTAAATAGCAATGAGATATTTAATAAGATATTTACTGAGCCGAATTTCAAAATTAACACATTTCTAAGAACTCTTGCTTATTTCGATATTAGCAGTAGTGTTGCTATAAAACTAAGTATAAAATTTAGCTATATATTTCATTGAAATTTCATTTTTATGCTATTTCATCTTAAGCATTTCATAAAAATTAAATTATTTGAAAAATTTTTACGCACTAAAAGGAATCTATGCAGTGATAAGCTTACTTCCAATCAAGACAATTATTAATTGCTGCACGCTTACAAAATTTCAAGTTTTCATATTACCATATTTCTTATTTATATATTTTCATTTTCTATTAATTTTATTTCTTTGATTTTACCATCAATAATGAAATAATGCTTGTGGTTTTTTAATTCTTTCAAATATAAATGAATTGAATTTGATTCATTGCCATTTTTTACGGTGCGGGAAATGAAAACATTCAGGAAGAGTAATGTATACATAAGCAAAATAAAGCTCTATAGGTGCTGTTAGCTTGAACCGGTCGATGCATAGGACAAATCCGCTAGCACATCAGTACACCACCACTTTTATTTTGTCAACAAAAAGCGAATTCGAGAATATGTGTCGATAATAGCAATGGGTGGAACAAAAACGTCATGCTTTTACTAACATGCAAACAACTGAAATGGTTCACTCACCAACGAATGCTTCAATTTTTAAATTAAAACTTTCAACTATTACTTTTCTCACTGCGCATTTTACCACCACCTCAGACGAAATATTAGCTATTTTAAAAATGACTATTTTAAAAATGACAAATTTTTTTCTATTCCAGTTATTGAAGATAATAAATAAAAGTGTCATTTTCTAAGGAAATTTTGTCATAGTCGTCAAATATCGTTCATTATATTATTGAATTAAAATAAAAAGCAAATTTTCATTTTTAATTTTGGAATTTCTTTCTTTAATATTTATCAGTTATCCGTTGCACACTATTATTTGACTTTGGAAATATGTATGTTTGATGCATCCAAAACCCAAATGATATATATGTTTATTTTATTGATCCATTCATTAATAGCATTTTTGATTAATCACAATTTTTCACAAAATCATCATTGTTCCTTATGTTTAATTTACAAAAGTAAAATAACTATTTCATTTCCAAAATAATCATTTTAATTCCATTTCTCAGATTTTGCTTTGTGTAAAAGTAATATTAGAATAGTAACTTACTCTGAATTTCAACCAGTTCCCATAGCACCTCTCAAATTTTGCAATACTTTATGTTGCAATCTAAAGCTCATTAATAGATAAGTGAAGTAAAATGAGTGGAGAAATTGGGAAAAAGATGTTTGTGAGTTTAATTCAAGCTAAAATATAAATTTGCTAAAATTTTTAAAAAACCAATAATAGCCATTATTTTTGGATATTCTATTATTAGCTTTATTACATCATTTTTGCCTCTCTCTTGTCCTCTCTACCTCTCACTCTCCTTTTCTGTCTCTCTCTGTCCCTCCCTCTTTCTATCTCTCTAACTAAGAAACATTTTTTTGCTACAGGAAAACAAGATATTGAAATTAGCACATTTACTAATTGGTTTAATCAGATGGCTTTACTGTTTAATACATTCCCAAAACAATATATTTCTGCAAAGGTTAATGTTCATCTTTTTTCAATTACTTACCAAACTACAATGCTGATAATCTTTTTTTATAATTAAAAAAAAAGTTTTTTAAAAATTTATTCCAAATTTGATGTTATCCATTTTGATATTTCATTTCTCAGTGTTATG